ATTTTGTCATTTTGTTCTTGTATTTTCTTCCAAAATTCTTGTAAGGTTTTTTCTGTGTTTTCTTTGGTGTGTCTCTCAATCCTTTGCAGATACCTAAATATAATTCTTTTGAATTCCTTATGAGAGAATTCCAGTGCTGTTTCTTCCTCAGGCATGTGTTCTGGGTCTGTATCCTGCTCCCTTGTTTCTACCACTTTATCTTGCTTTTTTGTGTGGACTGTGATGGTCCATTGTCTCTGAGACATTGTGACATTGTTGTATTTAGATCTCTGTTAACTGTTTGTGAAGAGCAGCCAAGGGTGAGTCAGGCTCTTCTTGGTGGTTGTTTATCGTAGGCCCATTAGTGGAGAAGGAGGTGGTGATTCTCACTCAGTAAGTGAAGCTTTCTAGTAGTCCATGCCTCTGGAATATCTTTGCAGTTCCCAGCAAGCAGAGCCTGTTGTTAAGTCCCTGGAACCTGGGAGAACGCTGTCGTTTTAAATATCCAAAATGATCAAGCCGCTTGTAAACATTCAAAATGGCTGTGCCCTACAGACAGGCTAAAGTCCACAGCTAAGCCTGCCTTCCTCTTCTCTGCTTCCCCTTCCCTTCCCCAGCCACCAGAGCAGTCCTCTGTGCAGGCCCTGGCTAGCAGGGCCAAGTTTTAGGTTAATTCTTAGGTCCTACCACCACTTGGCAATATCCAAGCTGTCTGTGCCGTCAGGATCGCTGCCAGATCACAACTCCATATGTCTCCTTTTTTGGTATTTTCATGCAAATTCTTCTCCTAGTTGGAAGTTTAGTCCACTTCTATAACCTTCCCTTCAAAGCTCAGGGGTCCAAGATTATCTTCTGTATCTGTGTTAATTGGTTCTCCTTTTCTTTGTTGAGGAGGGTCTGTGCAGTCTTTCTGCCTATTCTGCCATCTTACTGGAACCTAGTACTTGCTTCTTATATTTGTCATGGATTTCTCAAAAATCAGTGACATTTCATAGTTGATAATTATAGCATCGTTCTGTTCCCAAACCAAATATGGCAGTTACTACAGCAGATTTTTTAAAAATCAGTCTCTCATCAAGTAATTTAACAGGGATGCTTTCCAAACATCTAAGGAATCTGGCACATTAATGAGAGCATAAATTCTGTTTGGTTAGGAAGAAAAAAATCCATAGAGTAAAGGTCACTTTCAGTCACAGAATATACTCTTAGGTAAATGCAGAAGATTCTGGCATGATTAATCACACACACAGTGACATTTCTGAAGCTTTTTTTTTTTTCAATTGCCAGCTTTCTTTTCTCGGCTTTCCTAATACATATATATTGTACAGAAACAGTTTTCAAGGTACAGCATTTTCATAAAATAACTGTTTTTCCTAATATTTTTGACAATTTTTTCTCAGCAAGATTCACCTCTGGTATAATTGCTTTGGTTCACAAATTTGATAAAATATTTTCATATTAGCCATTGGCATTTTTAAGCATCTTTTTTCTGTCAACCTAAAAATTCCCTTCCTTCCTTATTGATACTGATGAAACAATATACTACATGAGTACTAAGTGTCACAACACTAACTTATGCTTGGAAAAAGGAAAAAAAGGAAATAAAAAACTGCTTCCATAGGATACCAGCATTGATAGATCCTTCTGTACACATAACAGATGCATCAGAATTCAAAACTCAGATGCCAGCTATTGGTATGAGTTAGCTTAACCAATGATCTGCTACCTGGGTCCTCCTGGGCCTGAAAGATAAAACTATACTGTAAGGAGATATGGCAAAGTCTGTAGTGCAGTGCCCAGAAGTACAAGAAACAGGGAAATGGAGAACCGGACTTGGAAGGCTTCAAGAAGAAGGCAGGATGAGCTAGCACATATGAATGGGCAAAGGCTAATGATTTGAGACAACTGTAGCCTCTGACTTTTAAAATTCATTATTTGTTCCTTTTCTCCAGAAAATCATTCTATCTCCTCCACTCCTCCAGAGTTAGTTCTGTATTGGTTCAATCATACATTTCTGTGCATGAGAACACACACAGTACAGCTTTGTTTGGCAGGAAATAACTTGATTAACCACAAGGTGTCATATCCTTTCTACCTCAGTGTTACCTACAACATGTTAGTGAAATGTGTAACATGGCAATGAAATACAGAATTAAAGGAAGCATGTCTAACAATAGACAAATATCCTTACCTTTAAAAAAATTTGGCCACAGCCTTCTAATTAAGAAATATATATCAGAAGATTAGTCAACTGAAATAATAACCAAAATTATTTCATGCTACATTATTTAAACCAGACTCCTTTTCTACTGGTCCAAACAGGGTACAGTGCTATATACATATCACAGTAGTATGTTAAGGACAATGCTGAGAGTTGTTCATGGCAATCAGTATGTCATATCTTTGGCGACACTTTCCTGCACAATCCCCACCCCCTCTCCCCAAAACAGATCACTACCCACTCAGTTGTGAGCTTCTTGAGTGAAGGAATTGTGTATTATTCAGCTTTTTATCCTTCACAGTACTTAGAATAAATAGCTTCTAGTATGAATAGACTCTGGCTAATGGCTATTGAACTGAATGAAATTCTTTAGGAAACAAAATTCTTATTCACAATTAATGTCCAGGCAATACTGAGCATTTATAAAGGTACCTCTGCTCTGTATGTGGGAGTGAAAGAAGCTTTACAAAAACAGTCTAAGGCATGGTCTTAGATGTATACTCCCCGAAAAAGTGAGACCTGAAGTGAGTCTAAAAAGAGAAACAGATTTGTGCACAGGAAATTTAGTATCACATATTGGGGTAACACTGAGAAAAGAGACCAAGTGGAATAAACAGGGATTATCTGATGCAGTAAGAACAGACTCAGAGGAGGAGAAGTAGTGATTGCTATGATGGCTTTCCTTTGCTCTGTTTTGTATGGGAACAGCACACCAAGGGCCAGAGCTCAACTGAGATTCACAGAACAGCAGCACCTTCATAAAGCACTGGGCTGGTGCACAATGTAACTCCCACCATCACACCTCAGTTGTATCATTTGGACTGCTACTAAAATGAGTTTTTGTTGTTGTTATGTGTCATCAAGTCGAAGTTGTAGTGCCCACAAATACAAAAGGATTAGAAATCAAACACTGGGAAGTTGTAGGGACTAGGGACCTCTTCAGGGATAATCAAACTTTTTTTTTTTCCAAGCTGTAAGAAGTTTTTCACATAAAATGACCCCAATACATAAAGCAGATAAAATCACAATTGCTCTGGATAAAGAAAGTGGCCTGGAATCCTATTTGAGGTACTTCTACAGAATCTCTACAGATGCAAAATTTGAAAACTACTGATCTAGTCTTGAGAATCAAAATATCATTCCTCTCCCAAACAAAACTCACCTGACAGAGTGGATAAGCACCTACCCAGAGAAGGTTGGGCAATCTACTTCCATAGTGATACTGCCTCGGAAATCCAATGAGAGGTCGCTATGCGTGGGATCCAACTTGACAGCAGTGAGTTTTTTTTTTTCGGGTGGTGTATAGTACACCTAGAACTAGAATCTAGGAACGTCAACACCCAGACCAGAGCTCTTCCCACCATATGCCATACTTTTTCTAAAAAGCAAAGTCAGCCTAAGGATATGGTTCATACTTACCATCCTTGTTCAGCCACTGCTTTCTCGTTCTGTATAGAAGGAGCTTGTTGTGGACATAGGGTAAAAGGAACTTGACACACCAGCTTTCCACACCAAGTTTGTTTTCAACCAGGACTATAGGACTCCGGTTATACCTGGCTTCAGGACATGGGATCAGTCCAATTTCGTCTCTTAAGATGTGAAACATAAAAAAGAATTAAAAATAAGAATGCTGCATATAAAGAAATGCTCACGATCATTAGCTATTAGAGAGATGCAAATCAAAACAACTGAGATACCATCTTGCTCCAGCACTAGTAGCAAAGTTCAACAAGACAGAAAATAACAAATGCTGGCAAGGTGTGGAGAGATTGGGACTCTCATACACTGCTGATGGGACTGTAAAATGGTACAACCATTGTGGAAAGCCGTATGGTGATTCCTTCAAAAGTTGGAATTAGAAATACCATTTGACCCAGCCATTCCATTACTAGGTATATATCCTAAAGAAGTGAGAGCCACGACAAGAACAGATATATGCACACCCATGTTCATCGTAGCACTATTTACAATAGCCAAAAGATAGAAACAACCTAGGTGTCCATCAGCTGAGGAATGGATAACCAAACTACGGTACATACACACAATGGAATACTATGCAACGCTAAAGTATAATGTAGAATCTGCAAATCACCACATAACGTGGATGAACTTGGAGGACATTATGCTGAGTGAAATAAGTCAATCACAAAAGGACAAATATTAGTCCATTATTGTAAAAGTTAAGGAAAGGTTTATCTATAGAAGAAAATTTTCTTTGTTCGTTACCAGGGGTGGGAGGGGAGGAGAGAGGAGGGAATGCTGTTAGATAGATAGAGATAAATATTGATTTGGGTGAAGAGAAGGGCAATGTACCAAATGTGAGTGACCAATATGGCAGCACTGAGGATGAGAAAAACATAGAGAGGTACGTGGGAGATACAGACAACAAACATGAACCCTTTTGCACATACAATACTGCGTTGTCAGTGAAGACAAACATGGGTATATGGGTGGATAGATGGGTGGACAGGCTAAACGATTAGGTATGTCTATGAAATGGGGAGTATATCCAAGAACATATATAGAGTTGGCAGACAATGGTCCTATAAGTTTATGTGAATGATCAGAATTCCCAGGTGATAGTAGAGCTGACAAGGGGCAAGGCTGTGGTCACTGCTTGGTCACAGCCAGCTACCCAGAGGGACCGAGTAGTTGAACTTGCAGGCTTGGGACCATAGTTGCAGGGGACATCAGGCTCAACTGGCATAACATACTATATAAAACATTGTTCCACCTCCTACTTTGGTGAGTAGCAACTGGGATCTGAAATGCTAGCAAACTGCCATCTAGATGCAACAAAGGGTCTCTCCTCATCCAGAGCAAAGAAAGATGAAGAAAACCAAAATTCATGGAAACAATTAGTCCTAGCGACTGGTACACCATCTGATCTGCAGCCTATACGACTATGAGACCAGAAGAACTAGATGGTGCCTGGCTACCATTGTCATCCACTTGGAAGGGGATCTCTGTAGGAGATCCTTGATAGAGAGGGAAAACAATGTGGAACAAAACTCACAATCATTTGGAGAAAAAAAAAGGGGGGAGGGACCAGGTTTGCTGGTCCGATAGAGCCTGGTGGAACCACTGAGACTCTGGCCCCTAGCTGCCCTTCGGGTCTGGAATTGAACCCACACCTGTGGTTTCCAGCCAAACAAAATACAGGCATATGAGTTGAGCATTTACCTCAAGTAGATACACTCCTTGGAGAGAACAATCATGGGAGAAAGAAAAGCTGCTTATGCACAGGGAGACAGCTCAGGGGGCAGGAGTGCATGGAGGGATGGACACAGGGAAGAGGTAACTATGGGGAGGAAGTGGGAGGGGAGCTGTTGCATTGTGGTAAACTGTGGTCAATGTCATGAGACAAAGTATATGTGAACTGCTGTATGGAAAGTGAACTTGCTCTGTAAATCTTCACCCAAATCATAATAAAAAAAATAAATAAGTAAAAATGCTAGCCTTTTCAAAAAATTTTAAATCCTACAAGGTATTCTGAAAACTCCACATATTTCCCTTACTTAGAAATATAGTTTACTTCACCTACTAGATTGGTAGAAATTTTTTTATAAGTTTGTTAATACCCAGTGTTGACAAAGGTGTGGGGAAATAAGTATACGCTCTTGTCAGAAGTGAAAATTGGTGTAACTTTTGGATGGCAATTTGATCAAAAATTTAAATGCATATAGTCTTTGACTCAGCAATCTGACTTCTCTGAAATTATCCTATGCCAAAATATTAATGACTTTCACTGCAGCATTGCAAAAAACTCTGAAAACAATCTAAATGTGTATCGATACAAGACTATGAAATATATTACGGCCCACCCACATGATATAAGCCAAAAACCCACTGTCATCAAATCCATTCTGACTCACATTGACCCTACAGGACAGAGCAGAAATGCCTCATGAGGTTGCCAAGGCTGTAATCTTTATGAAAGCTTGACTGCTACATCTTTCTCCCACCAAGTGGCTGATGGGTTCAAACCGCTGACCTTTTAGTTAGCAGATGACTGCTTAACTACTGTGCCAGCAGGGCTCCTTCTAGGTGATAGAGCTGTTCATAAAGAATGAGGTACATCTGCATGCACTGGTTTAGGAAGACTGCCAACGGTTATTAACTGGAAAAAAAGAAAAAAGAAAAAAAAAAAAAAAGCTAGATGCCAGAGTGTATACAGCACCAAATCTTTTATATAATTGTTTCATTTTATTTTTATAAAAAAAATATACATGATTGCATTGAGAAATTTCTTGGAAGGATACCAAGACATTTTTGGAGAAGGAAGATGTAGAGGAGTAACTTTATTTTTGTACAGTTTAAATTTTATAGTCACCTGGATGTGTTATTTTTTTAAAATGTCAGAAAATGTATTTACGCTTACTTGCAAGTAATATACATGGAACAGAAACAAATTATTAATAAAGTTAAATTGGCAGTAAGATTGTGCATCATTTTTATTTCTACTTTTCTGAATAAAAAACAAATGTGGCAACATAGTGCCTAAGGCATTTGACTGCTAACCAGAAGGCTAGCCATTCAAACCTACCAGCCACTCCTCAGAAGGAAGATTGGGCAATCTACTTCTGTACAGATAACACCTCAGAAAAACAAGGCTGGGTCGCTATGAGTTGGACAGTCTCAACAGCATTGAGTTTGGTTTTTTTTTTTGGGTAAAACACAAAACGTTTCAGAAGTTGATCATTCCATCAGTGTTTATATTCCTTAATCCACCTCAATTTAAGTTGAAATTTATGTGAAATTTTCTAAGCAGAGATTTAACAAACAATATGTAGGGCATTTGACTTACCCAGTAAATGAAACAACAAACATAAAAATGTTTTTGCAAAACTTCAACACATGCCTTTTAACAATAAAGAAAGCTATAATTAATTCTTCCCTACATGAAGCATGCTTTCTCAAATAGTATGGCCTTCATTTAATTAATGAGTAACAAGAAACTTTTTACCAACCGGGGGAATTGAAACAAATAATAACATTTTTTTAGAGTGTCTAATAGATTCTTTAGGAGCTCTGGTGGTGTAGACCCTAAGGCATGTGACTGCTAATTCAAACCCACCAGCCAATCGTTGGAAGGAAGGCTGAGCAATCTACTTCTGTAGAGATCCACCTCGGAAACCCAAAGAGAAGTTGCTATGAGTTAGAACAGACTCCACGGTAGTAAGTTTGTTTCTTTCTTTCTTTTTTTTTTAAGAATAGATTCTTTAAATGTGCCATTAAAAAACAGAACAAAGAACTGGATTTCAGAGTTTGTATGTGACATTATTTATTATGTCCCTGGGTATCTCCTGCCAAAAAGATTCAAGTTTGGTAAAAGAGGGGAAAACTTGTCAAATTACTAGGGATAAGAAAAGATCCCTTTTGTTTGTTAGACCACCATCACAAACTGGTAGAAGGTTTTGAATCTAAAATTCAATCTCTTCTGAAACTCTGTACTGCATAGCTCAGAGATAATCTACTTTCTACATTAGTGAAACAGGAATATATCAATAAACAAGGATACCCTAGGGGTTAAGGAGCTCTGGTAGCACAGTGGGTAAGGCATTTAACTGCTAACCAGAAGACTGGCAGTTCAAACCCACCAGCTGCTCTGCGGGAGAAAGATGAGGCAATCTACTTCCATAAAAATTCGACTCAAAGGCAGTGGGTTTACTTTAGAGGTTGCAAGTCACTAACTATTTTTTCAAGTTAATTTAACTCTCAAGTAGATTTTGGGATCTAAGGTTTTTTGTCCTGATAATTGGCTGAGCTGATACACAGGACTGTTAATATACAACATCAATACTAGCTAAACATTTTCTGAGTACCTACAATGTATTATACCACCTGTCTGTCCATTTGTCATTTTGTGGTGGCTCACATGTTGCTATATGCTGGAAACTATGCCATCAGTATTTCAAATAGCAACAGAGTCACTCATGGTAGGCAGGTTTCAACAGAGCTTCTAGACTGAGGCAGACTAGGAAGAAAGGCCTGGCAATCTGCCTCTGAAAATTCTGTGGATCACAACAGAGTATTGTCTAATATAGTGCTGGAAGATGAGCCACCAAGTTAGATGGCACTCAAAATACAACTGGGGAAGAGATGTCTTCTCAGTTAGTAGCTGTTGTTCTTAGCTGCCATCAAGTCTCAAAGTAGAGTCAACCTTAATGACATGAATGGAATAAAAGCCTTCAAGACCTTCATCTGCAGATGTGGCAAGATTCAAAATGAGAACTGACTGCAGCAAACATCCATTAGTCAACAAAGGACTCAAACATACTAACAATCATGAAGATGGCGCAGGACTGAGCAATGTTCCATTCTGTTTTACATAAGGCTGCTACAAGCTGGAGTTAATTAGATGGCAACTAACAAAAACAATAATACTAGGTACAGTGTTAGGTTTGGAGAATACAAAATGAATGAAATACTAAGGTGGTCCTAGGCTTCAAAGAGCTCACAGTTTTTCTGGATGGTCACATCAGTATCTATAATAAATGTTATCACTTTGCTATTCCAGTAATAAATAAAGTTCTACAGCAAGAATATGGCAGTACTAGGAGAGAATCTGAGGTCAATTCCCAGTACT